AGTCTCGGAGTGGACTGATAGAAGTAAGTTCTAATATGCTTCTTATTCATGGTATATGATAATGTGTTTCTTGTTATGTCTCTGGCTGGACATTCAGATTCATGAACCAAGTTTCAGATCTTATGATAAGTAAAGCTTTGCCTTGGCATTAGTGACCTTGACTTTTGAGTCTGTGTCATTGTCATTGACATCATAAAATGACCATTCTCCTCACCTCAGACCTTTTGATTATAAAGTTGGAAAAGATGACGAAAAATATATCACTATTTTCTTCAATTCTTTAGTCTTTGATGCGAATCAATAATTCATTCAAAATCATTATAGACTACATAAAAATGTTCATTTATGTTTTGGATGTGTTTGGATTTATATTTCAACTAAAATATTTTTTCTTTGGCAGGCTGAGAGTGCAATTGCAACTCTGAACTGCAGCGGTGCAGTCTTAGGATCACTCCCAATAACTTATCTGCTCGTTCCAAGCTCCAACTCCCGTCGTCGGCGTACTGCTCCTGTCAGCCCGTGGCGAGGTAAGTTCCCATTTTCCTCTCAAAATGAAAGTAATGGATTATGGATTTAACTTTGTGAAAGTTAGATTGTGCCCCCTAGTTTCGAAAGTCTGCGTCCGCCCCTATCACTAAACCCACTAGTTTTCATCAACTTTTAGCAAACATCACAGGGTAATCAAGAGATAGCAAGTTGGGTAATTTTCTGGGCCCGCTTTTTATGCACGATTGGTCCTAAAGATTTCGGCCAGTACACGCACCGTGTTTTAGGGCAAGACATGAAGGTCCGTTATTGCATAGTGCAGATGGTACAATACTGTTATGGAACAAAATATTGGTTTGGCCTCACGTGAGGGACACACGTTTAGTCCTTTTTTAAGTGTAAATGGAAGCCCACATGCCTAAGATCTGGATCTACTGCTTTTTGATGCTATAATATTTGCGCAGAGACAACAAAGTATGTGCAAAAGATTCCCAAATTGGATTACAATGACATTATCCCACTCAAATTCAAAGGGTGAATTGATTCCCACGTGCCTCCTCTTACCATAAAATTTTGTTTCATACTCGAGTCATTTCGTATCGTTTTATGGGATTCGTGTTTTAGTGCTTGTTGGTCAAGTTTATAATGGCCCAAAAGTGTGGTTCAACTTGAATCAAGATTGATTGTGCAGCTATAACGAAATACAGATCAATTTGTTGAGAAATTTTCAAGATTTGTTTACAAGTGGGAAGGAAACGAGGAAAGCTGAATTCTTTATGGATAAATCTATATGTACATAATTATTGTACATAATGGGTTACATAGGTTCATGTGGAAGAAATCCGACTGTGGATGTGAAGTGGGAAAAAGTCAAAAATTGTAGACTATTAATGGATGCACGCCACATGTCAATTATGTAATGTATTATGTAAGTGATTATGTACTTGTAGCATTGCACCAACTTCACAAAAAAGTTCACTGAAATTCAGAAACTGGAATAGTCTCTTTACATAGGCCCTGAATTTTGTCTACTTTTTTGGGTCTTTTCTGCATGCAAAAAGGGTTAACTATGGACTTTTAATGTGTAAGGAAATATTGTTCAAACTTGTCCAAGTTGGTGGGTCTTGCACGGTTAGAGAAGAGAGCAATTTACAATTCTTGAATTCAGCTTACTTTTAATAAAAAACGTGACACATATAAATGAATAGAAGTGAGACATAAATCAAGACGAACTTTGTAAAAGACCGTCAAAGTAGTTCATATACCATTTACCAAAATACTCAGTATATACATATTTAAGTTTAAGAACTTCTGGAGTTCGCAAGATAGATTACACCACACTACATTATTAAAAAGGAAAACGAAAACTCATTTATTTATTTATTTTTATCATATTACAGTCTTCAACTATACAAATCATCGTCGTCCCCAGCTGCGGTGGAAGAAGAAAACGGGTCTGAAGCTCCAGCAGCAGGTGCATTCTCGGCGTGATCTGCAAACCGGAACTCGGATCCAAATCCGCGAGATTGTTGTAGCGTCTGGGAAAAGAGCTGGTATTTCCTAATGTCAGCATCACTCACGCTTCTTCGAGCATATTTCATTGACTCCTCGAAGTGCGTCGGCTTGATCTCGGAGACATCATCAAAATTGTCTTCTTCCATTGCTTCGGGGTTCCCCATCATCTTCCTTTCCCTCTCGATATCCTGTCATTCCAATGTATCAAATAAATAAATAAATCAAGAAGAGTAGCAATCAGACTATATCCCAAATTCCCAATTACTCTAAGGAACTAGGCCCTTATCCAAATTAGGGGATTAAAAAGGACATCAGAAAGAGGCAAAAACACGCACATATTTATAGTAGTCACCCTCAAAGTGAAAACTACATCCAATCGATGTATAATTTTTCATTATATTAACAAACTCCTCCCAAAATCATTTATATAATATTAGTAAGATATCGTGGTGACCTTATGACTACACATTATAGCCAACACAGAGGTTAGCAAGGCAGTCAAAAGGATAAGTAAACACTCAGACTAGGCTCCAACAGTCGAACAATTACCATAGCAGATCTTGTTGGTATTTATGGTGACCACAGTGCAAAGAACCTACAAATTTATGAGTTGATACTGACAAGAATCAAGCCCCAACTCCAGTCGACAAAAAATATGGATTTTTGGGAAAACGAGTGGGAGCAAGGGAGAAACAGACACAACTAAGGAGATTTTTAAGGACAAAGTACTTCATGATGCTTAACCGTGAACATAAGTAGGACAATCTAATGTCATTTCACTTCAGTATTCTTGTCTATCTTCCGTGTTATTGAATTATTAAGCAAACAAAAATTGAATCAATACAGGCCAAAAAACCCCGCCTAGTCTTCAATGATGTTTTTAAATTTAAAAAACAAAAAACTGAGGGTGCTTCATGCCATACTTTGTTACTACCATTGCAATTACAGGCCAGAATGTAAACAGATGCCATGATGAAAAAATAGTTACCTTTTCAATATTTTCTCGAATTGCATACTTGCATGCACGCTGACAAATTTCCGTTACATCAGCACCACTAAACCCACGAGTGTAACTAGCAAGAGCAGCTAGATCAACATCCTTTGATAATGGTGACCTCCGTAAACACGTTTTGAATATCTGAAGACGGGACACATCGTCTGGAAGTGGGATATAAATCAACTGATCCAGACGTCCTGGCCGGAGTAAGGCTGGATCAATGATATCCGGCCTGTTTGTTGCTCCTATGATAAAAACAGTTTTCTTTGCACTCATTCCATCCATCTCTGTTAATAGTTGATTAAGAACTCTATCTGCAGCACCACCACCATCTCCTACTGATCTACCTCGCTGGAAAAGGGGACAAAGGGAAACAGAACATAAGGATTGAACTGACAACTCCATGGACATAATATAGTGGGATTAAAATAAAACTTCATTTTGTTCCAAGCTGGTCGACGAACTAAACTTAATATTTGTTACAATTTGTTCATATACCGTCTACGTCCATTGGTTTGGCTAACAGAAGCTGACATAGCATTCTAGCTACTAGCCTAGTTGGCAGATAAGTAGGCTGCCATGTCACTCTTCCGGATATGGACACAGGGACTAACTTAATTCAAAATTAATTTACAGTTAGCAACTTGAAGCGAAATGAAGTTCATTGACCAACATGGATTTTTGCTATAGAGAAAACATAACTCAGAGCATTTCACGGAGTTTAGACAGTCTTTAAAATATACCTGAGTGGCAATTGAATCGAGTTCATCAAAAAAAAGCACGCAAGGCGCAGATTGCCTTGCCTTGTCAAATATTTCACGAACATTTGCCTCACTTTCTCCAAACCACATAGTCAGTAACTCGGGTCCCTTAACACTGATGAAATTGGCTTGACACTCGTTAGCAATGGCTTTGGCAAGCAAGGTTTTGCCACAACCAGGAGGTCCATAGAAGAGAACCCCTTTAGAGGGTGACATGCCAAACTTCTCGAATTTCTCTGGATGCTCCACTGGATACTGGACAGTCTGTGACAAGCCAGTTTTTTTAATTCAATCAGAATTAATCACGAGCAAAATCAAACTACAAACCACGTACAAGCTTGAGAGGAAAGTGACGAATAATTATTAAAAGAAACTCTGAGAACTCAAAATGAAATAATTAAACTGCCACTAAACAAGATTCAAAAATTTTATATGTCAAATATCTAATGGAAGAAACTTTCAAGTCTTGGACTGATTTGGACAAAACGAACCACAATTTTCCATACCTCTTGAAGTTCACGTTTCACATTTTCCAACCCACCAATATCATTCCAGGACACATTAGGAACTTCCACAACCTGCCATCCAATAGAATCAATGCTTATAAATTTTAAGTAGCATGAAAATGAAATTATTCAAGAAGAAGAAGATGATGATAAGAAAGTATTCCATCGTACTATTGTAAAAACAAAGAAAGAGCCCTCAGGCTTTAAGGGACTTCTAATACAAATAAGTCTAAGGAAATACAATGAACATACAGTTTCACGTAATGCCGATGGGTTTGAGGCACCCAATGCAGTTTGGAAGTGTTCATTTGTCACGGCCATTGAATTTAACACTTCAGCATCAATCGTCTCATCTTCCAAGTCAATTACGTCCATTTTCTCTCTAATGCACTGAAGAGCAGCTTCAGTGCAAAGAGCAGCAAGATCGGAACCAACATAACCGTGGGTATCCTTGGCAACTCTTTCAAGGTCAACCTGAAAAATTATTAACAAATTTATAGCCGTGGAGTTGAGATAAGATATAAACAGAGTATATAAAAAAAAAAACTCACATCTTCAGCAAGTTTCATATTTTTGGTATGAATTCGAACAACTTCCAATCTCCCAACTTCATCTGGCACACCAATGTCAATCTCTCGATCAAATCTCCCGAATCTACGGAGAGCAGGATCAATGCTATTTGGCCTGTTGGTGGCACCCATTACAATGACATGAGCCCGAGATTTTAAGCCATCCATTAAAGTAAGAAGCTGGGAAACTATACGCCTCTCCACTTCACCATGCGTTTTTTCCCTCTTTGGAGCAATAGAATCTAACTCGTCGATGAATATGATCGATGGTGCATTCTTCTCGGCTTCCTCAAATGCCTTCCTCAAGTTACTTTCACTCTCTCCAGCCATTTTTGACATTATTTCAGGCCCATTGATCAAGAAGAAAAATGCACCAGTTTCATTAGCGACAGCTCGTGCAATCAGGGTTTTCCCTGATCCAGGAGGCCCATACAGCAAAATGCCTTTCGGTGGTTTCACACCGATAGCCTTAAAGAGCTGTGGGTGCCTCAGAGGAAGCTCGACTAGCTCACGAATCTGAGCCATTTGCTTTCGTACACCACCAACGTCGTCATACCCAACTTCATTCAATTTTTCCTCTTCTTCACGTCTTATTGGTTCTCCATCACAAAATATCTCAGTATCCGGTGCAACAATGCAGTACTCACCAGGATCGGTTTCAACTACTTTAAATTCAACACTTCGCATGCCACCTCTAACTTGAAAAAGATCACCCTTCCTCGCAGGACGATAAGCATCCATGAAGTATGCTGGCATGTGAGAAAAATGTAATGAAATATATTAAAAACAATGAGAAGATACTCCCAATGCAAACACCAAAAAGCTTTTAAAACAGTTTTAGTTATCGAACTTTTAGCAGAACTTGATAATGATCACTAAATTTCACTATGGTCTAAGTAGTCAATAAGCTTAAATGTTCATTAAAGATTAATCATTTCCATCTATGACCGTCGACTTGGTTATCGTGACAGCCTAGTTGGGAGTTAGTTGACAATAACCATTTTTCGTTGGTCAAACTAAAGATAATGGATCGAGTGACCAAATCATAACAAAATCCAAGTTCAATGACCACCTCGAAACAAAATGAAATTTAATGAGTGACATGAATCTTGCTAAAATAGCGATAACCGGTACATTTAACTAAAAATGTTAATGGTGGGCTTACGCTTCAAGTACACGTCAAAAAGGTTGCCTGTGAGACCCTCAACCGAGTCGTCAAAGGGAAGGATATGCACACTTTTTCCATACTTGACATCAGGGCACTGGTGTATTGATACTACATCTCCAAGACGCACCCTAAGGTTAGCTCGAACGACTTTATTCATTTTTATTTTTGATTCTTCACATTGCTCATCAGCAAGAAGTATACAAACTGTGTCCTTCCGTCTCTTTCCCTGTACCAGATGCAGATTTAGTAAACTCCACAAAATAAAAAAGCAAAGTCCAAGTTTTAAAAAAAATACCTTGATCAAAATAGTGTCTCCTCGAAAGAGACTAAGTGCTTCCATGTTAGCAGGATTCATCGAGACCGCTGAATTGTCATCATTAACGGCCTCGTCTACAACAAGCCGATTAGGGGCCTTTTTCCGCTCCAAAATTGCCATAGAATAGTCTTTCGTTTTCCTGGATTTTAATAAACAAAATTTAACATAAGATTCTTGACATTAATATAAACAAGTAAATTACATAGAGTAACATGAATTTCAATTACCAGAAAATGAGACAAATACAGAAAGTCAACCAAAAAAGAACATTTTTTTTTTATAAAGACAATCACAAAACAAAACTACAAATCAGCTTCTTTAGGGACGAAAACGCAGAGCGAAAGGTGCTTAAAATTCTAATAAAAGTAAGCCACAAAGATTTAATTTTTAGAAAAGTACTATAAAAAGTAATTCTAAAATTTAATTCAAACGTAGCAAAAAAATAACTTTTTGAAGCTTATGAAATCAAAATTAAGGTCCATAAAATATCAAACAGCAACGTATGAATACAAGGTATGAAAAAAACGTACGAGTCGGAAGAGGTTGCGTCCGCCATGGTTTTAAACTTCAAAAATTCAAGGATTAAAACTTAAAATTCCGAGTACCCGACTAAGTTTGTTCAGAGAGATGAGAGTGCGTGTGTGTATGTATAGAAGGAGAAAGAAAGGAATTGGACGAAACCGACTCCAAGTCAAATTAGAGACTACTCACCTGAGTTGATTAGGATGACTGTTTTTTGGATACCTTTTCCTTCAAGAAATTTCCAAAAAACGACCAAACGAAGTTCTATAATACTTTTTTTTTTTTTTGAGAAAATAAAACGAAGTCCATAGACCAAACATGTTTCTATAATGGACAATTCTTGTGGTACATTACAAGTTACATCAGGGTGTCCATAATGGACACCCGACGCTCTCTCATTGGTTGGGGTGCCGGTCCCACAACCCCCCCCCAATAGGGGGCGCCGGATGTCTATTATGGACACCCTTATGTATCTTGTGATGTACCACAAGAATAATTCTTCTATAATATTTCTAATGTTAGAAACAAATAATGAAACTATTCGAACGCGGGTAAGATAGAAATTACGTATATGTCACTCTTACTTGTTGATGATCCTTTTTTTTTTAATTAAGTTTTAGTTTTTCACTTCACACATCGAATATAAAGAAATACAATCTAGTGAAATAATACGATTTGATAAAATTTTGATTGTTAGATTACCTTTTGTTGTTAGCAACGTAGCCTCAAAGTTCCTCTCAATCACTTAATTTTAAAAATCATAGGACTCAGATTAGATAAATTATAATTTAAGTTAAAAAAAAATTAAATCCAAATAGACTCTTAATCTTAAATTTAATCATTGAACTTCAATTTATTTCAAATTTTTTTCTAAAATTTACAAATATTTCCTTCCGGCTACTAAATGAGTTTGATGTTCAACTTATATAACCAAAATTCATAAAAAATGTTGAATGTACAGTCTTTTTGACAGCCCCCACATGGGGGTGGGGCCCACAATCTGTACATATAGCATAGTTCAAAATTCATAGGTGTTTGTGTCAAGTCAACAAACTTGTAGGATTTTCAGTTAATTCCTACAACTTGGTACATGGACAAGTGGAATATTCAATTAAAAAATAAATGCCAAAGTGAGTTGATGGTTTGAATGAGTGTTAAAAGCTCAATGATGGATTTGAAGTAAACTAAAGTCTATTGACCAATGTGGCACAAGTACAAAGTTTAATGACCGTTAATGAAATTAACCCTACCCTACAATTCATGGTAAAATCAAAGGAAAAACTTCAATACTTGAATGAATAATGTCATTTAGTACCAGTTTATGTGGTATGTAAGTGGTATTGTATGATAAGTTTAATTAAAACGTGTTATTATGAGATTCATTTAATTAGATTTATCATGTATTTAATATTTAGACTAGTGTTTAGCACTAGTGATGATAAATAACACTACTCTACTTGAATACATCATTTACAACTTCATGATTTTTGAAAAGCATATACTCATAATTAACATAATATATTATCGAACCACGACGAAAATCAAGAATGTTCGTTCTTGTGATTTTTTTCTAGTATGAAACGAAACAATTGTTTTTGTTTCAAAATATGGGATTCCATGCTTTAATATAGTTTGCACTTACCTTGGTTATTAATGTTCGTTTTGGATGTGGCATTCCGTTACATCTTACCCATTTTATTTTTTCTTTAAAGAAATGAAGTAAAAACTGGAATAACTCAATAAAGATAATTAAATGATATTTTATTATTATTTAAAAAAATAATGAATTTAATTAAAAAAAGGTTTTCAAAAGTCATAAGCCTATAAAATTTTAAAATGAAAGTCTATAGAAATTCTACTAATTTCATACAAATCCTATAAAAGTCCACAAAAGTTATCACTTAAAAGAAAAAAGTCTATAAAAGTCTTCAAAAGTCTCAATTGAATACAACCATTCGTACCCATCTAATCCTTCTGTCCGAGCATGTCAAGATAAGGGAAAACTTCTATGTAAAGCTTCATCAAGGAGAAAAACTTCAACTACAATCCACCTTAAAAGGGCAAATATTAATTAAATGGTAGCTTTCGCCTTAAAATTTGTCAATTTTATCATGTCAATACATTCCACCATGGTCTGGAGGTAACTTTTTTTCACTAAATTACTACATGGAAAAAGCACAGCCAAACGCATTCTTAGTTAGGCTGACGTTTGGGATATAAATATGAAGGCAATGATACGTTGGCAGCAGCAACCTTTCTGCCAAGCATGGGAACCTTAATCTGACTGTAATAAACTATGAAGAGAAGGATTAAAAACACAGCAAATACAAGTACAGGGGAAGATATCATTTCCTTGATTTTCAATGTTAAAATGCCATTTTTGGATTTGTTATTATTAAGCCACAAGAATTCTCCTTCAATTAGTGCAGCTCCTAATGTCCAAGAAACGTCTCCGGGTCCAAAAATTATTTCCATACCGCTTACACACAGTGCATTTTCGACAAGAGATGCCAAATAGGGGACTCGGAAACAATACTGTACGTTGATGCTTGTTTGATCAGCCCATGATTTAGAACATAATAGCTGGCCTGATTCCCACATCTTTGTAAAGTTTGCTCTCTGGCTCAAATTTAATGAATTGGAGACGGCAAAAAACCCGGATAATGCGTGATAACGCCGGACTGAGTGCAAGCTTTTTGTTAAATTGAGAGATTTTTTCCCTGACATAGGGGAAATGCGAGAATTGATTGATAAGAAAAAGCACCATATAATAAAATAATAAATGCTCATTACTGAGAAAGCAGAAATCATGATGGGGAGGTAACCTCACATCCTAGATATATCCCTCAGAGCTCATTTATGAGTTTAAACTATGCATTTTACTGTTCTATTTAGGAATGCTAAAACGCTGGGTCGAGCTGAACAAAAGAATGTTCAAGTTTTGCACAGTTTCTCGATTAACTTAATATTATGTTTAAGAAGTATATAAAATTCGACTAAAAGGTGTCAAGCTTGGCTTCTCAATCTAGTAAACCAGTAAATCTTAAGGCAAACTTCAAGTGGACTAATCCCTTTATCATCCTTAGTAAATCAGCCAATCTTACACAAAAAAAAATAAGGAAAACCTAAAAAAGGCTATACATGAAGGAGATAACAACGATAAAAATAAATAGAAATGCATAATTTATTAGAAACCTGTCAAGAGTTTGGGGAACATAACAGGATTGATTAAGAACTAAGTTATTTGGACATGGATATAAAACTTTAACGGAAGTCGCCCAAACACTGTCCTGATAGGAATTTCAGAAGCCATCTTTCTAACATCATGTTTTTAAGGATGAGGAAATTTTCAATCAACAAATTCGACTTCAAGTATCAACTGTTTCTGGGAGTTCTACAATTTCTAGATTCTACCATTCCATTAATAGAAACATGATAGATGTCTACCTCGTGTTGAATATGGTTCCAAGTTACATTGCATATTTCCTGAGGATACTTTTGGGACGTAGTATTGTCTAATATTATAGTACAATAGACAAGATTTTAACTACTTTTTCCTTCTTTAATATTGCCAAGAAGCGTCTTGTCCACCTTACCAAACATGTCAATATGGATCCAAGTTACATTGCATATTTCATATCATAATCCACTTCAATATCACAGGTCATATTACAAAACCTAAACTGAGTAGGTTTTAAAATTTTCAAATTAAGAAATGAAGAAAACAAAGAATTACAAGTACATTATTGACATGTTTGGTAAGGTGGACAAGGCGCATATTGGCAATATTAAAGAAGGAAAAAGTAGTTAAAATCTTGTATATTATACTATAATATTAGACAATACTACGTCCCAAAAGTACCCTAAGGACTTCCAAAGCATTAGGACAACGGATATCCCAATAAATAAACAAGAGTGGAGAATTAACACCAACGAGGAAGGCAGAATGCAAACTCTCAAACTTCTTGTATGTGAAATAGAGAAAAAATAAAACAGATACAATAGCAAAAAAAAAAAAAATCAAGGGCGAGTAAATCAGCAACATGCTCTATACTAGTTTCATTTCATGGAAGTATCCTCCAAGTCCTCATCGTGAAAGAGTCATATTCTATATACTTGATAACTCACACACATCAGCAACAACGAATACTATTCTCAAAGTTCAATGATCATTTTTTTTCCAAGATTAGACAAGTCAATATAAACGTTAATGCAACTATGAGTCTGCCAACAGAAAAATTCAATCACAAATCCCACTGGAATATACTGAACATATGCAATACATGCCTGACATAGACCCCATGGAAAAGTTGTAAAGTAACTACATAAAAGGGAGACAGTAAAAAACATGCACATGAGAGAAGCAATTATTAGTGATCAAAGATATACATACTGTGTTTCATATTTTACAAACATTCCATTATGATGGCTTTCATGCAAATAATAATAACAATAAGTAAATATCTATTTATTAAGAAATTTGATATTGGTTTGCCACACTTCATGTGGCAGTACAGATAATAACGGCTGCGACAATTTCTTTGCTCCAATTCCATGTTTTACCCAAAATGTGGGATAATAGCTTACGCACCTCATTACTACCTTTGACACGACTAATTAGTATCCCTTTTTTCTTTGCAGATTATCTAAAAGAGAGTTGATAAAAATTGAAAGTATCAATAACATTCCTGTATCTAACTTATACACACAGTTTACAACCTTTTAAAAGAATTCTCAGTATCAGCATAAGGCAGGTAGTTGTATTAAGCCCTGTTTGACGACCATTATTTCCAAACTTTTTTTTCTACACACTCATTTTCAATCATACGTTCACACAATAAAATATTGTAGACGTAAACCCAAAACTTTCATACTTTTTAACCCCCACATTTTCCTAAAAATCACTATTCAAAACTCTATTTTTCCCACAAACAGGGGCTAATTACCTGATTGCATGTGAAAACGTCATTATGAATGAGTTCCATTATTAATCATCAATTAATGAATCTCAGGAAAGTAGAAATTGCTGAAGGTACAGGGGAATGCAATTTCCACAATTAATATATTATATATTTGTAAGATCGTAGCTCATGATAAATTGAAGCACTAATAAATAACATTCAAACAAATTCATGCAAAGAGTGTGTTCACAGCATATTTAACCAACCACGAAATGCCCATAGAAGTTCAAATTTTGAAAATTATAGTGCAAGATATATAGTTCAACTGACCTCCAAAATCAAAAAGGCCTATGCAGTTTGAATGATATGCTTGGTGTAACCACTCTGAAGTGCTTGAATTGATTGCAGCTGCTTGGGCAAGTACTTTGCACTGCTCCCAGTTCGGTTCCCCAACCAGGAGGATAGTTTTCAACTCATTCTCTTGAACCCTAATGCTCAAGTTTCCCAACTCTCTAGAATCTAGCCTCAAGCATCCATGGCAAGTATAATTTTGCAAGAAACCAGCCCCAAGACAAGGATGTCTGACTTCAAACCTACCTCCGATACTTTCTCTGTGCTCCTGAGTATGACTGAGCATAACAACAGTCCGATCAAAAGCTTCATTCAATCCAAATGACGCGAATGAGAACGCTATAATATCATGTTCAACAAACCCAATCTTTGATCTAAAAACATGCTCGTTTTCAACTATATTATCTACTTCTGCCACCACCTGCAATGATGAGCCTCCCAAATCAAGAAGTCCCAACGTGGAAGATCTAGATGAATTCCCGAACACACCCATTTTATAATTTAAAGCAGCCCAACCATAATATGCCTCTTCCTTCCCGCTCAACACCCTGATCCATTTTCTTCCATACAGAAAACCATGTTCTTTCACTACATTCTCCACGTCCTCCATAACCCGGTGGGCATCCTCCACTGCCAAGCTCCTCATCCCGGCTGTAGCCATAACATATATTGGAGTGATGCCGCGTCTCTCTGAAGGCACCCATTGTTTAGCATCATTAATCAATGGCTCCAAAGATGCCCTTACTCCTGAAGCATTACCAACAAAATTATGCAACCCTGGCTCTGTTTGCATACAATGATACTGACAACTCTTATTCTTCGTCAAATTCTCCGGAAAACTATGCAATAAAATAGGCAATTCTCCATTGTTCTCACTGGAAGTCTTCACCATCCATTCATACACATTTACTCTAGTGCCGGTACTTCCACAATCAAAGACAACAGTAAAATATGAACTCCTACTGAATCGCACAATACTGGGTTGTCTAAAACTAAAATATCCACCAATGATTATTACGATCAAGATGACCACGAGGGTAGTGGCTATACTGCTTTTTAGCATTCTGGGATTATGAATAAATCCCATAATTGGAAGCTTCGATTTTGAAGGAGATTCGGATTCCATCTACCATTCTAAAACCACAACCTTGAGAGGAAATCAAAGATTCTTGACAATCTTAGAGGCTTTCTTCACTGGAGACCAAAAGGACATTGGCTATAATTGTGAATAAATCCCATAACTTGAATCTTCAATTTTGAAGGCTATATGAGTTCCCTGCTATCACTCTAAAACAACAATATCGAAAGGAAATAACAGATTCTTGAATAGCTTAGAGTCTTTCTTCACTGGAATTTAGCGTTTACAAACTGAAAGAGAATTTTTGAGAAAATGTTGATCTACATTTGGTAGTGGGGATTCAGACGATGAGAAATGGAGATGCGAGTGCACAGATCCAGGAAGCCGGTAGATTGCAATTAGCCTATGTTTAGCCCCATGTCTTCATTTTTAATCACACGCCCACTTCTAAAATAATTTTACCTGAAATTTCAGAAAAAAAGGTCTCCACACCTACTTCAATTGACTCATCCATTTCCGTTCTCTCTCAACAGCCTAATTATTTTGGGACAATTTTAAAAAATATATCTCACTGTTCAAAGAAAAAAAAAAAAAATTGTCTCTGTGCCGTACAGAGGTGTCTCTGTACTACCTCGTGTCTCCGTGCACGGCACAGATAAATTATTTTTTCTCTTCCCAACATTTTATCACAGTGGGTTCTAAGAATCGATCATCAATACATGATTACCACAGCTCGACATATTTATTACAAACATAATGGTGAGTTTTAACAATCAATGATAGACATCAATTACCATCATGGGTGTACAACAACATCCACGTGTCAGTTGGGACATTTCCATTGCTTAGAGGAGAGATATTTAAGTCACATATAAAATATTGGAACGTTCAATGGTCAGATCAAACTATCAAACTCAAACAAATTATATGATATTTGATTTAAAACAAAAGAATTCAACATTTTCCAAGGGACACCCAAACAAATTACAGCTTCGCTGAAATTTCGAATTCAAATTTACCTGGGCAAAAAAGTGATGGTATTACACACGACGCAACACACATTTGTTGCTCCACTCGGGTATCCTACAACCATTGCAACTCTGCATTCCTGGACCATTTTAAACTAGTATATAAAAAGAAAAATAAATAGGTAAAATTAACAAGAAAATAAAATTGGAACGGAAATGAAATCGAAATCGAAGTTTCCAGAGAAATTGAAATTGTACTCACCAAATATTACGTGAAGTTACGTGAATGGCTATACAATAACACAAAGAAAGGGGGGAAATCTAATACAAACATGAGGTGTTAGTCTATGGAGTTTCTCTGTTTGGGATAAGCAATGGAAGATAATGGGTAGCGAAGGGATTGAAAGGGAAGCCATAGACACGGCAATTCAACGCCTGTGAATTGACAGTGGTGGATTGATGAATGATGGGAGCGGTATGGATGAAGTTAATTGCGTGTGAAAATGGAAGCTGAGATGAGTTACGTGAGGAGGACGAGGAGATGCGTGAAAAAAAAAATGCATTTACGATGATGGGAAATTGCGATACGTGGCGGCCAAGTTTTTGCCTCTTTTATATTGTAGTGATATATTCTTTAAAAATTCATTATTCTAAAATATGGTTTCTTACCAAAATGGGGCTCAAATGGGGACTTACACAAACCATGTGTCCGAAACGATGTCGTTAAGTTTTTCTACTAAAAAAATAATAATGCATATCTAAACATACTATTGAACTTATATTTGTGTATTCGATTGTTCGCTTGAACTTAAAATATCGAGTTTTGATCATTAAATTTATCTAAACGTTGGACGTTACTAATATAACATACGTTTCAACCTCTAACAGAATTGATGACGCTACTGAAGAAGTGCAAAAGTGTTTTCCCTGAATTTTGAAAAATGTTTTCGATTGCTCATAACATCTTCGATTGCTCACTGAAATGTGGGCTAACACTAAATTTATGAAAATGATGTGGACCCGTTGTTTGGTAAAAAAATATGTACAATAAGCATGCATATCGCTTATAAATAATGAAGTAGACAAAAAAAGTCCGAATTGTCGATTCCAATGATTACTCAATTACAAAATTAATTAATGAAAAATTGAAGATAATAATTCGATAAAAAAAAGTTAATAAAATAATTGCTATTGAAGAGTTTGATTATAATTATATCAGATAAAATTTGTGAAAATAATCTAACCAACCAACAATCTATAATATATATTAAATTAAATATCACATGAAATGAGAATATTTTTTGACGATTTTAGCTCTTTTACAATTTAATTATTTCATTAGTACCTTACTTTTCGTTTTTCAATATATACTTAATAGAAATTAATTATTAAACATGCACAAAAATAAATAATTGAATTGTAATTTATTCCAAAATTGCCCTTCGAAATTAAACATTTCCGTGTACAATTTGAGGGCATAAGCAGACGGAAGATTCAACGGAATAATTCATTTATTGTATTTCTGACACACTTTATTGAATTTGGTGAGATTTGTTTGATGAAACTGTAGGAAAATGAATTTTTCACCCAGAAAAAGGGGCTCAAACGGGGGCTAAGTTTTTCTACTAAAAAAACAATAACACATGTCTAAACATACTATTGAACTTATATTTGTGTATTCGGTTGTTCGCTTAAACTTAAAATATCAAGTTTTGATCATTAAATTTATCTAAACGTTGGACGTTACTCACTAATATAACATACGTTTCAACCTCTAACGGAATTGATGACGCTACTAAAGGAGTGCAAAAGAGTTTTCCCTGAATTTTGAAAAATGTTTTCGATTGCTCACTGAAATGTGGTCTAACACTAAATTTATGAAAATGATGTGGACCCGTTGTTTGGTAAAAAAATATGTACAATAAGCATGCGTATCGCTTATAAATAATAAAGTAGACAAAAAAGTCCGAATTGTCGATTCCAATGATTACTCAATTACAAAATTAATTAATGAAAAATTGAAGATAAAAATTCGATAAAAAAAAGTTAAGAAAATAATTGCTATTGAAGAGTTTGATTATAATTATATCAGATAAAATTTGTGAAAGTAGTCTAACCAACCAACAATCTATAATATATATTAAATTAAATATCACATGAAGTGATAATCATTTTTTTGACGATTTTAGCTCCACTACAATTTAATTATTTCAATAGTACCTTACTTTTCGTTTTTCAATATATATTTAATAGAAATTAATTATTAAACATGCACGAAAATAAATAATGGAATTGTATGAGAACAATCAAATTGATTCTTGAATATAAAATTTAATTAATTTGAATCAATGAATATAGAAAAAGAATAATGTATATACATTTAAACAAAGGGGGTGTGAGTAAACCAACATAAAATTTAATTAATTTGAATTAATAGATATAAAAAATAATAATTTATATACATTTAAACAAATGAGGTGTACATGAACCAACATGAAATTAAATTAATTTGAATCAATAAATACAGAAAAAGAATAATTTATATACATTTAGACAAATGACGTTATATCATAAATTAAATAAATAATATTGAAATTAAATAAATGTGTATGAATTTGAATAATTTATTCACTTCTATAATAATTGAATAGCTCCCAAATTATATGATATTTAATAATTTATATACTCTATAATAATTTATGATAAAATGAATAATNAGGTTCGGAACCGTTGCTGCAATTATCCCTAGATTAAATGAATGACATTGAAATTAAATAACTGTTCATGAATTTGAATAATTTATCTACTCCTATAATAATTGAATAGCTCTCAAATTATATGATTTTTAATAAGGATAAATCTATATGTACATAATTATTGTACATAATGGATTACATAAGCCCATGTGGAAAAAATTCGACAGTGGATGTGAAGTGTGGAAAAGTAAAAAATTGTAGACTACCGATAGATGCGCGCCACATGTCAATTATGTAATGTATCATGTAAATGATTATGTACTCATGGTCCCTTTAATAATTTATATTCTCTATAATAATTTATGATAAAATGAATAATTTTGAAAATAAATACGTGTCATGACTTTGAATAATTTATTTACTCCTAAAATAATTAAATAGATTCCAAACCATGTGTACACGAACTTCATGGACTTAATGTTATATTTTATATATCCATAAGTAAACGTTAATTAATATACATGCACATATATAAATAATTGTATTGTAGTATTTTTAGAGTAATTGAATAGCCCCCAAAATATAGAAAGTGTTCGTGCATGAATTTGAAGAATTAATTGATTAAATTATAATGAGATATATATAAATTAATGTTAATTATTATAATACACGTAAATGAATAATTGAATTGTATAAAAAGTTCACTTCACATAAATAAATTTTTTTGACTATTTTTTATATTAATCGATTTTTATATATTATTTTTACGACGTTTGTAAAGTATTTTAAAATAACGTGCAACGTACGTAAAGAGCCCTCGAAAACCCTTATTTCACCGTATTGACCCTTGTCCCTCTGTTCTTCACTTCTTCTATCCAAAACTTCGTCCCCAAATAGCCCCCAAAATATAGAAAGTGCACGTGCACGAATTTGAGGAATTAATTGATTAAATTATAGTTGGATATATATAAATTAATGTTAATTATTATAATTCACGTAAATAAATAATTGAATTGTATAAAAAGTTCACTTCACGTAAATAATTTTTTTAACTATTTTTTATATTAATCGATTTTTAAATATTATTTTTATGACGTTTATAAAATATTTTAAAATAACGTGTTTGAACTGACCAGTAATAGTAAAGAGCCCTCGAAAACCCTTATTTCACCATATTGACCCTTGCCCCTCTGAAGAAGATAGGTTTTGAAGCAGGGGTTCTCTCTGCAATTCTGCCAACCAAACAAATAAAGCTATCAGAAGAATTCCATCTTCACGCGCTTCCTTATATCATTTGCGCAGTCACTTCTGAAGCTGTCATATGGCCTTCTCTCTGTATGCCTCTTACATATGTGTGTCTGTGTGTATATGCGTTTGTATTTATGCGCGTGTTTGTGGATTTTCGGAAACTTCTTCGAATTGGGTTGTAATAATATGCCCACGTTTTGTTTTTCCTGAATACATGATATTTGTGTGTGTGTATGGACTTTCTGAAACTTTTACGAATTGGGCAGTTGGATTTGACCCTTTTTTTCTCTTTCTTTTTCTGAATGGATGTGGTTACGTGGGGGTAATCTGGTGGGAGGAGTGATTTCCTGCAAATTAGCTAAAAAGTATTTCCAGGAGTGTTACTTTGTTATATATATATTTTCCCCTTGACATTTTGGTTTGTTTTATGGAATTATAACACCGTGATTTTATGTATAAATTGTTACATAAGTTGTATGGCGTGTCAGCTGTGGTTGCTTTTAGGGACATTTGTTATTTAAATTTTTAGATTAGTTTTTGTTTACTTGAACGAGTGTTTTTAAGTTTTTCCTAATCTTCCTTTTGGGATTACAGGTCCTGGGGAAAAGATTAACTTAGAGTAAATGAGTGCGCCCAGACAGTGTAGACAATGGCACTAACGACCCATCAGTTGCAGGTAATTAGAAAATTGACGATTTCCCTTTGATGGAAGCTGATAATATATTGCCTTTTCTAAAGATGCTCGAGTAAAGTAAACCTGCCTTACTGCAATTGTATTTTATAATCTTATGATGCTTTAGTTTGGTTAGGCAGAAACAGTTGTTTTATTGGCTCGTGAAGTATCATATAGTTTTTAACTTTCTCGTGATTTTTATCTCAAAGCGATTGTTTATGAAGTGTTTGCCTTGCATATGGGAAATGCCTTCAGTTTATACTTATTATTTTTCTTCTCAATTCTATTATGCTATCAAGGTTTAGGCTTGAAATGTAATACAGTTCTCACCACTGTGGCGGGGGAAAAAGGCTCTTAGCAGCCTGTCCTGACTGGAAAAACTCCAATTGATCCTGACAGCTAGAAAATTCTCTCTCCTCTCCCAGCGGCTTTGACTCATAGATCTAAGATAGATGGGTGTGGTGATATGATAGGGTCTGTGAACACACATATGGAAAAGAGCTGCTGTTGTGTCTGAAAATCAATAGTGTTCTGATTTTCATCCCAACTTGTTTTACTTCTACGAGTTAAGCAATCACTTCCTCAAACAAAAATAAAACATGTTTCTGAATTAGCAGAATAAGTCCTCAGAATCACTTGTGTTTCTAGTGAAATTTGCAGGAACTGCATGCAAAATTTCTAATAGTTGTATATTGTGCAATTGAGTTTAAGCTTGTTTTCTTTTACCTCTGAATATCTTACAATGCATTGCTTGCTAGATTTGAGTCATGATAAAATGACATTTATTGACTCTTATTATCTCATCTGTACATCATCGTCTATTCCCAGTTGCATCAGCCACCAGCTACATCTTGTATTCTCATTTTGTAAAAGTTCCCCAAGTTTTCATTTGCATAACATAGATAACAACTGTCATTGTGCACTGTATTCAGGGTCCTTACAGCGCTTTTCCATTAGGGCCTTCACCATGGAGCAGAGGGAACAAGTTGATAAATTTTCTAACCATCCGTGCAGCTGGGCAAAACAATAGATTTACCTCCTTGAAATGCAAATATTGTTTAAGGTGAAACTACATGCAAATATTTATGTGTTTTTTTTACGTGTATTTTCGCCTGTCTATATGCTCATGCACATTTTTATTTATGTGGAAAAAAATTCTTATCTGTGCGTCGAAACATGTATAATTCCTAATTCCACCGCTGAAAGATTACAGCTTACTGAAGCTGTTTTTCCAGAACCCGGGTGACGGTTAGGGTTCAGAACTGAGCTCTTGCACTTGTTTTTCCTTTTCTCATTTGACAGGACAAAAAAGGTAAAACAGTAAGCAAGAAAAAAAGCTCTACATTAAAACCCACTGTACTTATTATTTGTTGTTTGCTGCTGCTAACCCCGTTCTCTCTGTTATTCTCCTTTTACAGTTGTTTTTTCATTTTTTCCCTCTGGCCTTTGTTAACTTGTTTTATTTGTCAACGACATAAAGAACAGCCTAGAAATCCATCCCTCCTTCCTTTTACATTTCAGTGACCAAATTGTATGGAGATTGGAGAGGCTATGATATCAGTGTCAAACCACGACCTTTAAACATTTTTAGCTGGACAATTTATGATATTTTGGAGTGCAAACTATGACAATGATATATCCTTGGGGCATTGCGCTCTCTCTCTCTCTCTCTCTCTCTCTCTCTCTCTTATATTTTCATTTCATTGATGGAAAGATGAAAAGACCACCTCTCATGGATTTTGTAACTTATGGCATGCTCTTTTGATTATTTATTTTACTAAAAGATAGAACGTGTTCATTGAACTGTTCTTAGTAAACAATTTTTCTAGATGTCAGAAGTATTGGGTCTCTAAGGGTGTAATAAGCCAAGTCATATCAAGCAATATGATGCTCTAAGCTCAGCTTGGTGTCAATGTGTCATAAACATGCCTAAAGAAATGCTCAAGCTTGGCTCAATTGTTGATCGAGTCAAGGTTGAATATACACTACTATGAATGTCTCAAGCACTCTAGGTTTGATATACAGTGTATTTAATATTTTATTGTCTTAGAGATCCAAGCCAAAAATGTGTTTGATGATGTACAATCTAAGTTCATTCGTAATAAAAAGGAACTCAAAAGCTTAACTTCTAGTAGAAGGAAGCAATAAAAGGAGTATAATATCAGTTCCTGGACATTAAGTGAAATAGTGGATAAAGGAGATGCTCGATTCTCTGGTGCATGGCTAATTGGCTATTCCCCTTGTCTAGTCTTTGTGTTCGGTTTTTTAAGCCAAGCTTTGCTAATTTATGAGCATAAATTTTGTTTTAAATTGACGTGTATTTTCACGTGGAGTTTGAATAAAAAAACAAGCCTTCGCTGATGTGTATGTAAATGACCTGCTGGAATATTGAAACTTTTCGTTCATTTCTGATGGTTACTGCATTATTAAATTGTAAATTTTTTGTGTTCTTATTCTATATCAGGTTAGTCTACATCTTATTCCTAACTATAGTTTGGTCAAATGGCCCATTTCCAGTGTAGGAGCTCCTTTTGTCGTTGGACCAAAAACGCAGTTATTTAAAATATCAGCTTTTAAAGGTAGCAGTTGCGATGATGATGCTGGAAGCAGCAGTAGTGGGTCAAAGACCCTGAAGAATCCTGTTAGCGTTTCATATGTACGACATGAGAGTGAAGAATCCTCAGTGAAATCTCCGGTTCAAAATATTCCTGTTTCTTGTACATCATCTGCAGATGAGACAACAATCCAGTCACCGGCTATACAAAATCTACTTAAGGACTGGTTGATGTTATTGCGTGCTACATCACAAAACCAACAAGTGACTGAAGTTCTTGATGAACCTTCATCGGTAGAAACTTTGGAAACACAAAACAGTTTGCAAAAGCAAGAAAGAGTTGAAATAATTAAGGCTGTTTGGTGCTCCTTTTTAGGTCTGGATGCAGCAATAAAGATACCTTTATTGATATTGTAAGTCTGATGGTCCATCTCTCTTTGTCACCATCTCTTCCTCTGTGTGTCTGTTAGCCTTTATATTGTAGTTGCCTTCTGCGTGTGATAAATTTCTTTGTTTCCAAAACTAAGGAGATACAACGATTTATACAAGAAAAGGTAAAAATTTCTGTTTCGGTTGAGCATTGATGTACTGATATGGTTTTTGATTGTCAAATCATTTCAAAGGATGAGAAATTTTTCTCAACTCCTTAACTGAATGCCACTGTGTAGAAATTTTGCATTTATGTGTGTGTGTGTGTATTGTTTGTTTCAATGGATATTTGGAGCTACTTTACTCTAGACTGAGTTGATTAAATTTCTGTGTTCTAACGTGTATTGCTGGTAATTTAACAAGGGAAATGGTTGAATGAATCCAAAGACAGTTATAATGCAATCTTTAGTAGTTTCTTCGTCAAAGCACGAGTCTAACATATATTATTCGTCATTTGGTATTTGGTTATCTTAAATAAGATATTTGGCCCTTGTTTAATGGCCATTATTGTGTAAAAATGATATTTTGAATACTGATTTTTTTGAATATTGCTGCTGACTTCTTGTCTCGCTTTTTGTTGTATTTGCAGTGTCCCTTTGTACCTGGCAGTTAATTTAGTATATGGATCTGTAGTTTCGAGAGAATTGACCCCTTTATGGGTTCTCGGACCATTAATTGTTGCTCTCTACATTAAGATGATCCGGTTCATTTGTGGTCTCTATTTATTCACCTTCAAGCAGACGGTTAAAGCAGTTAAGAACCTGCCTGTCTACTGCCTTTTGCTGCATAATTATGTTGTGTGTGGGAAGTTTAAAGAAGACATACGCGCACTTATATGGCAACCTGTGGTTGACATCAGAAACATGGACTACAAAGAGGTAATGAAGCGAAATGCAAAAGATTTGGAAATCTGGTTGGTGGAGAAATATCAGGACTGTGTGGAATCCATATGGCCATATTACTGCAGAATGATCAGGTTTTTGAAGAGAGCAAATCTAATATAGATTAGGGGATAGAGATGGTTGCAGGGCAAGAAAAATTGGGATTCTTTTTTTCTTTATTTCCTTGTTTTGGGGTGAAAAATATTCCCACGGGCAACAATTCCTGAGCCCCTTTTTTGAATCTGGGGTTCTTAATCCCTTTGAGCAATTAGAGAATTGGAACCAAATGGCTGCTTGTAGATGCTTTGCCAAATTTGAATTTATAATCTTGAACGAGTTCTGTATGTTTCCAACTCACACCTTAATGATGTTTCTGTGGGTTCATAGTGATGACTAGTTCATGTTTGACTGCCATTATTTCAACACTTTTTTTTAACGTACTCATTTTCAATCACATGCCACATAATAAAATATTCTGTATGTAGATTCAAAACTTTTTTCTATTTTTTAACTACATATTCTTCAAAAATTATTATTCAAAACTTCATTTTACCCAAATAATGATTGTCAATTTCTAATTTTATTAATATAAAATTATCAATGATCACAAATGCATGCATGCATGCATAACTTTTCTTGGCTGCTTCTGTTTCTGTATTTTGTAGAAGACCTTTTAAAAGAAGTTTCATTGGATCAGTTTTTTCAAAGCAGCTTGACTTTTTAAGCCCCCGTTTGAGCCCCATTATTTGTAATTATAATTTTTAAACTAGTATTTTGTTTTTTTTAGAATGTATCGGTTGAAAAAGAAGGAAAATTTTTCGATTAATGTGTAATATTATTTTATGAAAAATTGTGTTGTTGAAAATAAAAGGAGGAATAAATTTTTGGGATAATAGAGCTGAGAGTCTGGTCAAATGAGCCTTTTGTTTAGGAAGGACCGAGTTGGAGAGGGAAATCAAAAGATTAATTTTATTTTGAGCTTTTCGTACATGATATTCTTTAAATATTCTTCTTCTTCTACTCCCATTATTTCCTTGACAGTGCCAAGATCCTCTCGAGNAGGGGTTAGCCTCATGGGTTGCTTCGGCATGAGTGGATTTCATTGTGTCGACATCGTTTGGACTTGGCAGGTCCTACTCCACATGGGATACCACATGGTTTCGGCATAAGGTGTTTTTGTAGATCGGCTGAACCACGTGGGAACCTAACTAGCGAAACATAACATTATTTTTAGCCTCACATTTTTTAATAAAATAATATTACACAACCAAAAAAAATTTCTTCATTTTTAAATACACATTTTTCATCAATTTACTATTTCAAAATGAATTTTACACCAAAAAAAAAGGCTCAAACAGCCCTTAAATGAAAGAGAATTTAAGGAGTTAATGTTTTTCACTATATTTATTACAATATTACTATTTTTGAAAAGTCTTATTGACCAGTATAAGTTCTATCAACTTCTACTAATGAGAAGACAAAAGTGAAAAAAGATCCTTCTTTTTTCTTCTTCCACGTGAAAAATATGAACAAAGAACATCTGTAAAGCCGGGTTGGAATGTCTAAAAATTAGCTGCTTCTAAACTCATTCAAGAAAAGAACAAAAGAAGCAGCTTTCCATACCTCAGATTCTCCCAA